CGGTCAACATGTCCGTTAAAGTTTAAATCTTCCGTACAAAATTAGAAAAGTGCCGGTCAGAGGTCTTCTTTGTTATTTATTGAGCTTTAAAACAAATTGATAACGACTCTGTTCTCTGTATAATAATATAACAATATTTAATAAACGGTGACTGCCTCTCTCTCGTGAGGCGGGATATTTCATCGTTATCAGAAAATGATCATATAGGGCACACACGGAGCCGTTGGACCCCCAGAGCGTTGCGAATGCCGGTCTACCCACCTTGGGACCCGTTACCGTAGTCGTTTAGTTCCCCCCTCCCCATACAGAGCGGAGCAAGGCAACGAAACTTAAAATAATAAGCAGCATTTTACGGCGCGCTATGCATGGGGCCGCCTTGTGGGGTTTCCCGACATGTCGTTTCAGTAAATTAAAGGGTGTTTCATGTTGTCGTTGCTGTGAACCTTCTTAATACCTTGGAAAATGCCGTTTAATACTTTTTAATAGCCTTAATTTTCGCTAAATCGATTTATCAACTTTTAATACTTTTTAAGACCCAGCGGACACCCTGTTACTGTAGTGCAAAGAGCAAGTTTCACATTTCTTATTTCATTTTTTTGTAAAACAAAAATTATTTCGGGTCAGGTTAGGTCGACAATTAATTAATTAGAAAATTAATAAATGGTAATTTTGACATTTATTTTGAATTTGTAACTGGAAGACAGAAATGCCAGATCTTTGAGGATGCATAGTGGTGTTTTAAATGCTAACATTAGCATGCTAGCCTCATCAAAGGGACAATGCTGTGTTTCAGTGCATGCAATACTTTTTTACACTGCAATGTCACATTCATTGTATTAAAATACCCTTTTATTTTGTGTTTCTTTGTCTCTATGCTTCTTAATATTTTGTGTAAAGCAGTTGACGATAGCATGTGCGCAAATACAAACTCTAACCTAAAATGTTGCTCCTTTTTGCTGTTTCATATTGTCGATTTAATATCTTTGGATTTGGTTACTTTTAACACGGAACATTTTTTAAAACAGCACTGTGGCTTTGAGTAGTAACATGCCTGTAAAGTAGGTTTCCGTTATTATTTTGGAGACTCAAGATTTAAATGTAATATACAATATACAGTTTCCAAAATAAAATATTGTGAAGTCAGCGCAGCGATACTGCGGGAAACACTAGTCATTCTTCAGTGTCAGGATATATTGTACAGAAGCCTCCCTTTATTTCTATTGATTCTTGTGTTGAGCAGTTTGATATTTGCCTTGCCGGCTGTGCCCATAAATTCATATCAAATGCCAAAGGCAACATGTTTTTAATTGAGCAAATAATTCAGTTTCCTGATGAAGCCATTGTGAGAAATAAAAACAACTGACATAACGAGTCCCAAGTGCAAGTGCAGGTTAACGCCCTGTCAGAAGGATGTAACACAGAAATGAATTCTGCTATAAATAAACTGTGTGAATAGAAGTAAGATCAGAACAGTGAGTTCTGATGGAGGAAATGTTTCAGTTCTTTCTATTTCCCCTCCTTCCTTACCTGAGCGTCCGTCCCTCTGGATGTCCACGTGGTGCCAGGCGCCGTCGTTGACCTTGGCCTGCGTGGCTTTGACCTTGATGGTGCCGGACCCCATGTCCAGCAGCAGAAACAGCCCTCCGTCCAGCAGCTCCACCGCAAAGAAGTCCACCTTGTTGTTCTTCTGGCCCTTAGCGTCCCGCCGGTCCTGGGCCTTCCCGTGGGTGAAGAGTATCAAGCCGTTGGGTTCGGAGGTGCGGAAGTCAAACGAGATGGAGCCGACGCGTTTGGTGTTCCATTTGGGCAACGCCAGGTAGGAGTCGGGCGTCTCGAAGTTGATGGGGTCGAGGGTGGGGACGTTTTCACACTTGAAGACCACGTCGCCCTGGAGTTTCATCTTGGGGTCCACGATGCGGGCGAGGCGGGAAAGCTCCAGACGGATATCATTGTTCTTGTACACCACCTGGAAAGAAATATATGACATGAGTTATTTAGCTAATGACTTTAACAAAAGGATAATACAATAAGTACAATAAACCACAAAGATTCAAACAAGGTAAAGTGCATTGTACCATTGTAAGGTGCATTTAGGTTTGGTTAAATGGCCGCAATTGAAACAGGTGGGTTTTGATTTTGAATCCAAGATAATTGAGAGCCTTGTTTTCATTATGCACCCCTCGAAATTGTCGCCAAGCGCTGCGCTCAAAAGTCCAGATTATTTCAACTTCAATATCGTTTACTACTACTCACCATTCAGATGAAAGCTCGAGATCGCTCGATTTGAAAATACACGACCGGAGAAAATCTGCCACTTCCTTACAGAGCCCCTCCTCCAGCACACACGAACGCGCACATGACCAATGAGGGCACGAGATAAGTTTGTGCACAGATGGAAGGCTGACAGGCAGGTCGGCCATCCAGTTATTTTAGCCGGGTCGGCTAAAATGATTGGTCGTGCTTTTTACAGTACTACGGCTTCCATAGATGAATTTTTTTAATGGATTTTTTGTCAAAGCACTTAAGGTATTCATTGCTATCGGGATGTTAAGAGCATTCTATGGAATATAACAAAAAGTGTATCTCGAGCCGGTTTCTCAAACTTACCTACCCCACCTTTAACTGGCTGTTATTTGTGTTCATGATAAAGCAATGAGCAGATCCATTCACAGTACAATAGTAGAATATCAGTGTCTTACAAAGGGATTCTTGCAGTCACTGGTAGGAAGTGAAGGGAGGGGAGTAAAGGTGTAGTGTAGGAGAACTTGGGTTCTTATTGAAGTATGCTTTAGAAAATATATGCCATTTTAGTGTGAAGATGGTGAGTATACCTCAGTGTGAGTTGTGTCTTCAAGGGATTTCTTCTTCATTTATTTTCCCATCAGTACGGGATAGTTTGCAAGCACAATAATGTTTGAAAAATCAGTATTTTCACGTGAATAAATTGCACTTGATTGCAATGTGTAATACCATAGCATCAATATACCATATTGCCGATTTGAGAAGAGCTGGATCAATAAAACTAATATGGTCTAAGGCGTGTGTCGTCCAATTTGTTTCTCAGTCATCTTCTATTTCAAGTCCAATTTATCCAAGATGAACAGGAGATTGTTCACAAATGTGTCACGGTATTGTCATCAGATTGAACACCTGCCGACTGAGAGTGAAGCGTGAGCAGCGATGGCTGAATTATTAGAGAGTCATTCAATGTAATGTTCATAAACAGCAGTCTTTAAAGATTGGTGAAATACGCCGTCGGAAGATTCGTGACCCGGTGAGAATATACCCATTATTGTACTTATTTACCCACAGTGAAATTGCTCAAAACCCCTAATCCAAAGTAGAAAGAAGCCCCCTATTATAGTCAAACAGAAGAAAATACTACTGAAAAGGAGAGGAGAATATTGTCGATTGGAATCCATCGAGGTGGAAAATTAATGTTTCTTTTATTTCCTTTCTGGGGAGAAAGATAGGCTTTTTTCTGGTATATTGGGTATTGTGTGCGCGAGAAACAGCAACACTGTTAGACGGAGCACAGCTGTCAGCAAACAGATCTTACTGCTGTGGGATTACCGATAATCCTGGAAGATTTGACAGTAAATCAACACAGGTGACCCGAGCGCCGAGGGGGACTGAAGAGAGGGGGAGAGAGAGAGGAGAGAGACGAGGGTGCTGGGAATAAGCACGGAAGGAGACGGCAACATGAGAAAGGAAATATGTCGGGAGGCAAATAGAGAGGAAAAGAGGGAGAGATCTGGAGGATAAAACGCTGTAAGGCCAGTCCGTGCCACTGGATTCCAAAATGTGATTGTGTTTGTGGGTGTGCACGTACAGTACAAACACAGTGATGGAGCTGTCAATAGGTTAATGACCACCCTTAATCTCCTGAACATGACACACAAGATAAGACTTAGTTTAGCACAACCTTTGTCAAGCACCTGATCGAACGCACACAATATAGTAATACATGTTTTCTAGATTCAAAAACAGTATATTTTGGTAACTTTAGGGAACTTGCATCAAAGTATATGTTTGCATTAAAGATAAAGAGATGCATAGGAAAAGGAATGTTATTTTTATTACTGATAAACTGCACATTTGTTGTTGTTTTTTTCAGTTATAAATCCATGTTACGCTCTCAAGCAGAATCAAAATACTTTATTTATCCAGGGGGGAAATTGGATTTTTAAATGTTGCTCCATTTAAGACAAAGCTTTTAATATTTCATAAGATGTTATAATGAAAAGAATGTGCAAAAAAAGATCAAATTAAATAAAAATATTTCCACAAACATAAGACATTTCTTTAAACAGCAGTTAAAATTGAATTAGTTGAATAAAAACTATAAAATAAATGTACATTATACAATATGTGCAGTGTTGTATCAGTCTAAATAAAAGATATGAATGCTGAATAGCACAGTTATTGTGAACTGAACACATGGAATCATACATGTTGAAGATAATCACGGTCAGCAGTCGCCTGCTCTGACCGGCGAGGGGAGTCTGTGTGAATGTGGAAGTTATTCAGTCTCAAAGCACTAGTCTGAAATGAAATATGACACAGCCTTCGGGGGGGAATAACATTTACATACCACAGCTGTCTGACCGACTAATTAATGAGTAATTAAACCCAGCAGGAATTAGCGTATGATTAATATCATAAAGCTCTATAGTTTCTCACATTGTGTGCAAAATAAATGAATAGTTTAATATAGAAAATCAGAAATAGATTTGACTGTTGAAGAGGAATTGTTGCTCTATCTTAATTATCCGTCAGTCTTCTGTCAGCAGCCTTCTTTTTCCTAGTTACCTCATTGGGCACATTTTAGTCGGAAATGTTTTTAAGATTAAATATATATATATGTATAGCATTATATGACATTTCAAACATGTAAATGTTAAAGCATCAATCTGACGCAGTTCTTGGAACTTGATATCCCTTACAAAAGGTATACATGGGTCTAAAAAAGGTGCCTCTGCAGTAATGACTTGTTTACTTTGTCTATAAAACGTCAAAAAAGAATTGAAATGTATATTATAATTAACATAAAAGCCCAAAGTGACATCTTCAAATGCTCTGTCATAATCCACACAGAAAGAGCCAATTTCAAACAATCCTAAAAAAGATTATTTAAAATCCTAAAGTCGACTGTCAAAAATAAAGGACAAACAAAATATATAAATATTGCAAGTCTGTATTTTCTTACAAACAAATCAGGCTCTATTTTTCTATGTTCTAGCGTGACAGCTTTTACATTTTTTATTTACAATAATTAATGAATACAAAATAAAACCTTATATCGTCCTATCCCTACACAGGAATAAAATAAAAGCAGAATATGCTTAAAATGTAGAAACTAGAGTAAAAATCACACAAATGATTAATAGCTTATCAATATTTGCCAATGGATTTCTGTCGAATGACCAATTGATCGTATGGACTTATTGCAGTAAAACAAGGACATTATCGGGTTCAAACCAGTTTGAAAGACCCACTGTGATGCTGGTGCAGTGTTTGAATATCATCTAAGCGTGCTAATACTGTATGACTCATGGCCCGAGGGATGGTCTCTGTTTGTTCTGTCTGTTTGTCTGGATGTGATTATCAGCTAACCTCTGGATATGAGAGAAATCTGAATATTACATGAAAAGAGAAAGCAAGGAGAAAAAGAGGCTTTAATGTACCTCATTTGGAATCTTCTTTGTAAACACTGCAGCGGTGGTTCTTAGAATTTAAATCTCACAAAAGTTAAAAAGCAGTCTGTCTGTCTGTCTGTCTTTGAGACGTATTAATTGGAACTTGTAGATATGGCAGGACACCAGAGCCACAACTGGTTGCTATTGTACACAAAATAAACTGTAATCGTCTACTCAACTCATAAAACACTTGCTGTCTTAAGTGTTTTCTTCACTGGAAGAGTCATGGTACCAGGGATATATTATTTAATAACAATACCGGTGAAATTCCACAATTCTCAATAGCAATTTGATACCATGGTCCATCCATACACCCATGTTCCACAGCTTATCTGCAGTTGGGTCGCAGAACGAGCAGTTCCAGAAGAGGTCCCCAAGACTGCCCTTTCCCTGACCACATCAATCAGCTCTGACTGGGCATTCAAAGGGGCTCACAGGCCAGCGTGGAGATATATTCCCTTCACCTGGTCCTCAGTCTGCCCCTCGGTCTCCTCCAGGTTTGACATGCCTGGAACCCCACCCTGGGGAGGCGGCCAGGTAGCATCCTTACCAGGCGCCCTAACAACCTCTGGCTCCTAGCTACGAGAAAGAGCAGCTGCTCTATCTTGGATGACTGAAATTCTCACCTTATACCTAAGGGAAGTGCCAGCCACCCTCAAGAAGTGAAAACCAATTTATTTGTTTCATGACCCATCCTTCATGATTATGAAAACACTACCCATCTTCAGCACATCCCAAAGATTGTCAATGGGGCTGAGGTCTGGACTCGGTGGTGGCCGATCCATGTGTGAAAACGATGTCTCAAGCTCCCTGACTCATCACACAATGTGAGCCCACTGAATCCTGGCATTGTCATCTTGGAACATGCCCATGCCATCAGGGAAGACCTGGTCATTCACTATATTCAGGTAGTCAGCTGACCTCCTTCTTTGGGAACATAACATTGCTGAATGTAGACCTGACCAACTGCAGCAATCCCAGATCATACCACTGCCCCCACAGGCTTGTACGGTAGGCACTAGGCATGATGGGTGCATCACTTCATCCGCCTCTATTCTTTCCCTGATGCGCCCATCCCTCTGGAACAGGATACATCAAGATTCATTGATTTGGTTTTAATAATGCTTTGGACCGGATTTCATGTATCTCCTTAGATGTTTCTTTGCTTGATGCAGGCCAATAATTAGACCTCTGATTAACATCTATTCCACGACCACAGGATATGCCTTCTGACATGGTTGTTTAAGAAATTAGAAGCTATTCACTG